TTGGGTCCCCCAAGAAAAAAAAAAAAAAAAAAAAAAGTTAATATACAATGAAACTGGACTGTACACATGACAGACAGTGATTGAAGCTCTTATACATTTTTACACTTTAAAGACAAAGTAACATTATTTGTTGTATGAACATTTCGCCCAACATCCACCATTTTGCACTACAATAGTTACAATTTTCTTTTGGAGTTTTAAAACATGGATGCATGGCTCTTCAATTATTGTCCATCACTTGTACAGTTTGGGTCCTCTTAGTAAAAAAAAAAACAAAAGTTAATATACAATGAAATTGGACTGTACACATGACGGACAGTGATTGAAGTTCTTATACATTTTTACACTTTAAAAACAAAGATTAACATTATTTGTTGTATGAACATTTTGCCCAACATCCACCATTTTACACTACAATAGTTACACTTTTCTTTTGGAGTTTTAAAACATGGATGCATGGCTTGGTTGTGCGAACGCCAGCTCCATATCAAACGACTTCTAAATTAAAATTCTGAAATGGATTTAAGTACTCCCGTTTGGGGAAATGTTCTTTCAGAAGGCATTAATTCTAGAATAACGGAACGTCAAGCATCTACTTTTCTCGAAGACCTCGTCTGGTCTTCTCGGGTGCCGTGGGAGACCGAGCTTTCCCGGAGCTCCGTGCTCTCCTATACCGACCATACCGTCCACTTCAGTAACTAGGGATTTCTTCTTCTTCGGAGTGGGGGCTTTGGTTTTGCCATAGAAGGGATGATGGATCTCCGAGAACCTCGCGTTCGAGTCTTATTACTCATCGCTGGTATTATTGCTCTCAGCATGGCAGGTTTTCTCTCTCTCACCTCTCCTTGCTCTTCTTTTTCTTTGTCTCCGTTCTATAATCCTGTTAATTCTTACACTTCCAATTTTGCTCTCATCACATGGCCTCTATGTAAGAATCGAGTTAGTATTTTTCTTCCTCGAGACATTTGGATTCACTTTTGATTGCAAGAATTTGTTAGACTTTCACTTCAGAAAAACAAAAAAAAAACATCTCAAGTTTTATGCAATTTTTTACAACAATTGGGTTTTGCTTAAAAGAATAAGTGGAAAAAACAAAGAAGGGGGAGGGAGGGAGAGAGAGAGAGAAGGTTTATGATTCCTGTTACATGGAAATATATAACTCGAGATAACAATCTATTTTTAAGGATTGCCCTCTGAATCTTTATTTATAGTATACCTCTATAGATAATGTTACATATGAGGAGATGGAATAAATTCCATAATATAATCTGAAGAAATTTTATCATAAATTGAAAATATGCCAGTTATTGTCCTCTTACATGCATTATGATTTTCTAAATATGAGACAGACCCATGTGAAGTTGTTCCTTAGAGAACTCACTTCACCTTCTGTGGTCAAGTTATGGAGTGTTGTTATGCAGAAAGCTTTAGATAATGTGCCCCAACTGCCTCTGGGGTCAAATAGGTAGAAGAGTTGCTTTATTAACTTTATTTTGCTTTACGTAGTTGTTTTTAGAGCCTAGGATGTCTTGATCTTGCCGGTGAGTTCATTGAAATGAAGGAAACTTGATCGTACCTGGGGCCAATAAAGACTAATGTTTTAGCAAATTCAATTTCATTGATTGGCTGTGTTGATGCTTCAATGGGTGAACTGAATTCACCTTCTTTGGTGAGTTATGCTAACTTGTTATGTATAAAGCTTTAGATAAGGTGTAATCAGCCTCCAACATTGAGTAGGTTGGTGAGTACCTTATAGACTTTTTATGCTTTGCGTAGTTGTCCTTAGAGTATGGGATGACTTGATCTCATTGACGAGTTAACTGCAATGATGGTGACTTGATAGAACTTGGGGTTAATAAAGGTTAATCTTTTAACTAATTCAACTTGACATACTTGCTATGTTGATGCTTTATAGCTAGCTGAGTTGGATTGAGCTTAGCTCGAGTGATTTTAGGTGTACATTTAATTCTTTGATTTTCTTAACTTTATAAAACTATTTCAAGTAATAAAAAAATTTCTTATTTTGATTAATTGTCGTATCATTAAAGGATGATTTGACTTGTCTATATGTATAGCCATATACTCAAAGACTCGAGCAAAATCGGTAAACCCGCATGTTTAACCCATGAACGAGTTCAAGTTTGATTCGTTCAAGTGTTAGTTAGGCGGAATTAGACGGAATGGTGTTGATACTCGTCAATTCACTCTTTGCCTCACTGACTTGAAGCTTGGCCAGCGCAGCCTAAGAGTTCACCTGATAGCTAACACAAGCACAAGAGACAATTAGGTCAGCAATCCATGACAGTTTGATAGGTCATATGGCTAAATGATGCAAGATAACACCACATAATTTTTATATATTTTTTTATTATTATAGTTCTTATGAACTTGTACAAAAGCCAAAGAAACCTCAAATCTATAATAAGTTGTCAACACTGAGAATAGTTCTTTTTTTTCTGCCTTTTATCTTCTCAAGTGCTCTAGTGTAGGTGGTGTGTCTATGGACAACTTGAGATTCAATATTCTTTTATGGTGCAGTGAGTGTAGACATGCCATAAACTAGAAGATGAGCTTTCAAGAAGTTGATCTCAATGGTAAGGAGAAATTTATTAACACGGAGGATACCAGAAAGTTTGTAGTGAAACAATTAGTGGAGTTAAAAGAATAAAGTCACAATAATGATCAAGGAAGCGATGGAGTGTTTTCCATACATTCCATTACGAGTGGAAATGCTTACTGAATCCTCTAATTCAGTGTTGAGAAGAAGACAATAAGAAGCTTTGAAGGCGTTTTGATTAACCTCAGTGGAGGAAGATGATGATGAGATTTAATTTTAACAGTAAAACCTTTACTTCTATAGAAGAGAAAAACGGAGGAGGGAAGTGAAGGAGTGACATTGTCTAAAGAATGCTTTCTTTAGAAAGTTTGTAGAAGATAAGCATTCAGAGAAGTTCAAAATTTTGTCCTTGGACTCGTATAAGGGGAATGGATCTTGGGAGCAGGGCTCTGAGGCTAGACTGTTGCAGCTGAAATAGAGAATAAATAATAAGAAATAAAGAGAAAGAGAAGAAAGAAGAAGAAAGTGGAAGGAGGAAAGTTGGACTTTGAGGTAAGAATTCAAGTTCTTATTTTTTTAGTAAATTAATTTAATTTTAAAAAAATACAAGTGGAAGATTTTCTAAGAGAAGGAAATTATGCTTTTAGGATAGAATTATGAATTTATTTTGTTCTATCTCTAACTAAGTGCCTTTGAAGTTGGCATGATTGCCTTAAGGGCTTCAACGAGGGGAAATCATTTTGATGTTAAAATATTATTTTAGGAATAGTTTTTATAGTGTTTTTATTAATTAGAATGTGTGATAAATTAAGAAATTGCCCTTTCTAAAGTGTTTATTTAAGGAGGTGCGGTCAGTATGAGCCTAGATAAGAAATTGATTGCGAGATTAATCGATTATCGACGTGAAATACTCAATTGTTAAATTAAAAAACAAAAGCTCAATAGAATAACATGTATTCTTACTTATTAGTAAATTCACTTAGTATGTATTTGCATTTAGAATTCCTATAATACTTAGCGAATTTGTTATATTAGCAGAGTTTAATTCATGCAAATAGTTATTTATTTACTTATAGTTTCATAGAATTTTATAGAAATGCATAATTAAGTACAAATATGTATTATTATCTATCTCATTGTATTTTTGTGCATGTTAACAAAGGTGATTACTCACAGGCACTTTCATATTACATAAGAAATGCTTATGAAATTAATTATAGTGGTGAAGATGATCATTGAAATGTCATATAATCTATAATAAATATTTAATTATACATGAGAAGGCCAAAATTTTAATAAGATGAGTCTTGGTAGAGAAATTAATGAACTCTCGATTCTTGATATTGAGGTTGAGGTGGTCCAACTAGTATCATGGGCTGCCCATTGTTAAGTGTGACGTTCGACGGATTATCCTTTATCAATTATTTCTTATGACCGATGGATCAGGTGACAATCAAATAATAATATGTTAAAGCTTATAAAAATATAATATGATATTTCTAATACAACAATAACTAGCCCTTATATACTAAGTGGGGTCATTTCTAATACATCTAATATTGATAATAATGATGAAATTGAAAGTGAAGTAAAAGCATATATGATATTGCTTAGTATAGTAAATTAAAAGAATTGTAAGTTGCAATTTTATTTATTTTTGGCCGCTATTGCATATACTACTTGCTATGATGTTCTCCATCTTACTTAGTTATCAAAGGATGTTAATTTATTATTATTATTATTACTCTTATTAGTCACCAACATGCACTTAATTTCTTTTTCTTATATTTTTTGTATTGTTTTGGTATTATTTATCTCATTGAGAATGGAGCTCACCAAATATTATAATATTAATTTTCAATGAGGGAAAAAGAGTAGTTTGATTATTAATTTGGTGATCTGGCTTTTTGTACAACTTTTGATTGTACATTTTTGGATGTTTATAGGAGAGTGGAATCTGATTTAGATAGTCTTTTTGAAGACATGTGATTTTTTATTTGAAGATTAATTAGAGGCTTTGTAATTTATTTGATATTTATTTATACATATTTATGAATTTCTATTTGTCAATGAATATTAGAAGAATTAAAATATAAAAGTTTACTTTTTGGTGACTTAATAAAGTTAATTTTCACGAAAACTTGATAAATATAAGTCAGGATGAGTTTTTGATGAAAATTAGGCAGACTGAATCACTATCCTTTGTTGCATCTTTGGTTGACCTTAGGGGGTTGGTAGGAGTGTGATAGGGCCAGTGGATGCATAGACCCTCGTGCCTAAGTTTGCATTGAAAATAAGTACTTCATATAACCTCATTGATGATACCGTATTGACAAACAATCTTATTCAAAAGGGAATTATTTTCTATTAAATATTTTCTCTTTCTTAGGCGAATTACTTTGGGTTTTTTTTAATGAAGTTTTCAAAAATAATACTTTAATTAAAGAGCAACAATAACAACAACAACAACAACAACAACAACAAAGCCTTAATCCCACTAAGTGAATCGGCTACATGAATCTTTTGATCGGCTACATGAATCTTTTTTCTCCATTGCGTCCTATTTAGTATCATATTTTTGTTTAAATTCTAACAAATTAAGATCATTTTTTCAATAAGCCTAAGTCTTCCTAGATCTACCTCTGCCTTTCTTAACATAAGTCGAATCTAAAACATCTACTCTCATAATCGTTTCATCAGATGGTCGACGTTTAATGTGACCAAACCATCTAAGACGACTCTCTAATTTTATCCATCACTGGAGCTACACCAACTCTATCACAGATATATTCATTTCACATTTTGTTTCTTAGTGTAAAGTCACTCATCCACCTAATCATTCTCTTCTTGGCAATACTTAACTTAGTATCATGCCTCTCTTTTAAAGGCCAACATTCGGCGCGATAGAGCATTGTAGGTCTCACTACCATCTTATAAAATCTTTCTTTAAGTCTAAGTGATATATTTTAATCACACAAAAGGCTCGAAGCATTCCTTCACTTCAACCAACCAACTTGAATTCTACTAATAACATCCCCATCTATATCACCATCGCTTTAAATAATAAACCCGATATATCTAAATCATTCTCAACTTTTCATAACTTGATCACCCAAAGTTACACTTCTGTCACTAGAGCTAATACTACCCATGTATTCAGTTGTAGTTCTACTCAAACAAAGGCCTTTAGACTACAATGTAGACCTCACAATGTAGACCTCCATAATTCCTCCATAATTCAAGTTTTTCCTGGGCTTTATCTCTCG